ACACTATTTGCACAAATGTGTATTTAGTCCTCTGGAACACGCACAGTTTAAACCTTTGCTGCTCTTACCGCTGTTCAACAACTTTCCACAAGCAAAGACTGGAATGTTTTCCATTTGCTCTTTGTTAAAGAGCAATTCTTTTGTGTATTTAGATCAGTTGGAGAGCTCCTCAAGTAATCATTTTTCAAAAGTCGTGCTGCTTCAAATTAGATTTAAAGCAGGACTTTAACTGAGCCATTCTAATACATGACTGTGCTTTGATGTAAACCACCAGCAGCAGGTTGTACTGTGGAAATTGTGTGCCTAATGTTTGTAAATGTCTACTTAACTTTGTGCATGCCCTCCATGGGGTGTTCCTTGGTCTTCATGATGCTGTTTGCTCACTAATGTTTCTATTAACCTCGATGACCTTCCTAGAAGAGTTGGATTTAAACCAAAATAAAAATTATACACAGGGTCCATTTTACTTTTGATTTCTCTAGAGAGGGGGAATGTATTCCAAACAGGTTAGCATTTTATCTGAGGGCAGCAGAAAAAAAACAACAAAACAGGATGGTGATACTTCCACACCGATTGATACCAAACAGTTAACTTAACATGCATGTACCTGGAGAAAACCTTGGCTGGGATTTTAAACCAGGTCCTTTTTGTCACATGGTAACAGTGCTAACAAATAATTTTTTCATCTAATCATATTTTTATTTTTTATTTTTTTGCAAAAGAAAACTGTGTTCATTACTTCAACATTATGGCCGATTTTGCTTTTATAAATTACCCCCAGGTAAAACTTGAAGGTGGACAAACTAATATATAAGGAAAAATCTTACAATAAACTCTTTTAAATATATTATATCTAAGATCCAGAATGATAAAAAGCAAGTGCAGGAGATATTTGAAATTCTGATTGGTAAATAGTATAGATTTACTGTAACTATAAAGCAAGCTTTCAAATAGAGTCTTTCCAATGATACCATTAATATGAATTTAGTCAGATAGCAGAAACCTATATATGTAAAACACTAATGCAGTATTCGTCAAGATAATCCACAGTGCATGTATATCATATAATCTTGATGTGGAGTTTCCCTAAAGTTTAACAAAATAGTTGGTTAATAATTTGCATATAGAAAAATAAAATCCTTGCTAAAGTATCCAGCATAATACTCAGAGAGCCACATTTTTTCAGCCATCTGCATGTTGGAGATGAGTAGCAGACAATTTTACTTGTGTGGAAACTTATATGAAAAGGTTTAATGCTTCTGGAAATGTCTCAGTGTTATTTAAGGGGTTTTGAACACTTCTCTTGGTCTACTACAGGGGCGTTGCTAGGCACAAAGCTTTACTGGGGCACTGGCCCCCTAGTGCATATGCCCCTCCTTCCATACATAAATACAGACAAGCACACTGCCCCACCCTGATACATTCCTACCAAAATTACCAGTTGAGATATTAATGAGTATAAGAGCATATTTGTTTTAACAAACATGAACATTTTCAACATTGCAGCTATAAAAAATAAGACATCAACAACTTTGACAAATAAAAAGTTTCCTTATACACATTCTGAAGTAATCATTAATTCCTAGGTTACAGAGTTTTAGTTCGGGGGAAATTTTAACTCATCCTGAGCTAAGTTTTCCTTTTATTTTTTGAGCATTAAAGGCACACTATGCAACATTTTTCAGTTAATTAATGTGTTCCATAACGTTATGGATGATTAAATGATTCATTTCAGGTTGAACAAAGGTATTCTCGGCCGCCCTGGTGGTCTGTGGGGGAAATACTGCACTTTCAATTGCAGGAGCACCGACCCGCACCCACAGGCTCAGAAGTCTCGTGAGAGTCAGTCTTGCTTTACGGTGAGAACTGCTACACCCCCCAGTTAAAAGCATTCTTGTTGCTAGCACAGTGGCGATCTTTGTGCAGTTATGCTACGTTCACGCAGCAAAATCGCGTCTGCTGCTTCATTTTTACTGCTTGTACCAGTTAGTTCTGACGCGCGGCTGAAGCAGCTTTGCTGCTCTGGCTGCGCGGTGCAAAAGTGTGTCTGACGCGCCTTGGGCGGAGCTTCACTATCCTTTCTCTGCCTTGCAGCTATATTTGCTGTGATCAGTGGGAATAAAGTAGTTTTAAGATGCTTTTAAGTGAGAAAATACACCTGAAAACGTAATCAGTGCAATCAGTTCATTCAGATTATTATCCTGCCTTCAATATTTTTTCTGTCGGAGCCGCTCAGACCCCCACATACCAGCGGTGCGCCGACAGAAGGAATCCCTTCATCAGAAGCCTCTGGCCGGGTCGCCTCCTCGCGGTTCACCGCAGCAGCTGGTAGGTGTTTTTCATCTAAATAATCCAAACTGCATATTCTGCCGGCAGATTAAGAGGAGTGATCATCAGCGCTGTGTCTCTCTCCCTGCGTCAGATGATTAAACGACGCACTGCTTCAGCTGCTCAGACGCGCTGCGCCTGCTGCTCAAAACGCGCCGCGGGACCTTTTGCTGCGCCTTGACGCGCGTCAACCATTGACTTGACATGTAAACTCGCTGCTTCTATTGCGCCAGCTGCGGTGTGAACGCAGCATTAGTCATTGGTTGCGTTCGCCTGTCAGCTAAGCTCAAAACAACCGCGCCTGGCTTGACGGAGAAAGCAGGAGAACAGCTGTGCATATTTACGACAGTGCACTTTTACTTTCGCCCTCTGGGGGGAGCCTCGCTGGAAAATCAACACCGGTTGCATAGTGTACCTTTAAAGTGTACCTCCTATTTATCATTTTTGCAAAGTGGTCAATCACTTGTGACTCAGCTTAGATAGTTCTTCCTTTTCAACTGATAAAATAGCAAGATGATGGAGCCTATCTTGTCCCATTGTGCACCTCGGCCAAGTGTGGAGCCTTCTCAACACACTGAATGAGCTTTCACAACTCCAGCTGTAGACTGGGATTGTGAGGGAGATCTGGATGACCTGCGTTAGTGTTGGGAATATGATGTTATCAAGCAAGTTGAAAACACACTGCATATCCTTGATAACAAGGCTTTCTTTTTTAACCAGGAAAAGCTCAAACCATTTTGAATTAAATGAACGTTTTTTTACTCCAAATTTGTGCTGGGGATGGTGGGACAACTTCACTTGTTTAGGACCATCGTGTTTCCCCCTTAGTCACTAATGTCCCCTTCTTGTTTGTGGAAGCTGGTTGTTACATCCTCATCACCTTCATGGTCCTGTCTCTCCTGTCCTTCACCTGTCTCTTGCCTGTCAGTCTCGCCTCCTCCTCCCTTTCCTACTCCAGCACCTGCATTCTCATTCTCTACAGCAAACATAAAAAAAACGCAAATTTATAATTATGTAAATATCTATCATATTACTTATAACGTTCCTAATGTAACTGGTTACATTAAATCACTAATTCATTACGGGACCTTACCTCCCTCTCTCTCATCTTGTTTTACTGCTTCCCTGTCTCTGCTTCGTGTGAGGAATTTCCTGATATCCATCTACAAACCAATGCAGTAATTTTCAGTTAGTAGCCTATAAATCATGTGGTTTCACTGGGAAAATAATAAAATTGACAGGTAAGAAACATTACCAGATCTAAAAGTCGTGGCCGCACAGTTTCCCATCCAACTCAGTTGAGAGCAGCGTGTTAATTTACCTGCAGTTCATGCAGTGACATGCGCTGACGTGGGGGCACTAATACGTCCTCAATTTGGAGTTACCAACACACTTGCTGCGCATTTGAGTAGAAATATACGTCTCCTTCCGTTGGAAATATCTAAATTGATGCATTAAAAAGATGTAATACTGTTGCAAATATTCATGAGATTTATACTGGGGCACAGCTCATTTATACAGGGGCACGTGCCCCAGTAAATGGGGTCTGGCGACGCCGATGGTCTACTATATTTAAAAGTAAAACAATTTGCCCATTTGGAGAGTTTTTGAATACTAAAAGCAGATCTGAAAACAGAAATATGGATAAAAGTCCTGCTTATTAATCAAATGCAGAGTGTAAAATGCTTAAAAGTCACAGCTCAGCCAGGTGAATTTAAAAGTCCCTGCTTAGCCATGTGAATATGAATCTTTTAACCCCACTGCCACTACCTCTGATTCAGCAACATCAGCACTAGTGGCTGCATCAGAGCTAGTAATTTTGGAGAATTAGTCCACCCAACATTATATTTCCAAAGAAAATTTCAGCCCTAAATAACTGCAGTCTTATTTACTATTTCATCTACTCATCATATTCTGTATGTATGCCTTCTAGGCGTACTGGATGTTAAGCAGGTCAGATAGGCCCCCTTTTGAAACTTGCACAATAAAGTTAAGATAGCATACATCTTTTTTGCATACATCTTTTTGTAATGTCCACTCTTCATATAGCACCTTAATATTTGGATTACACATGATTTAAAAAGTCATGCATACAAAACAAAATAAAGCAGGTGAATAATGTGAGTCAGTAACTAAAAAAATTAAGTATGAGGAGCTTGGATCAAATTAATGATATACACTGAATGTAATTAAACAGGTACCGCCATTAGCAGGTGGCGTCACATTCAGAAAACCATGGTACCTCTTAGGGGGTCGAGAGTTATCTGATGTAGCCTCTTGAGTCCCGCTGACATGCTTGGACCTTTTCTTTTCACATTAGTGAGTAGCGCTTTACATAGGAGATATAGATATATATAACAGAGACAGAGGCTAGCTAGGAATCGCTTGGTTCTCAGGACCTCTGGACCTCTCAGTTCAAGCCACACCAACACGGACTACCACTCTGGGTCCCGAGCAAAGACCCTTAACCCCCACACTGCTCTCTGACCGCCACACAATGGCAGCTCACTGTTCCCCAAAGGGATTGGTTAAATGCAAAGAGTTCATTTCATTGCTCTGTACTTGTGACAGTGTAACGACAATAAAATGCTGGAAAAAAATAATAAATATCAAGCCAAGAAATATTTCTTCTTTTGACAAAATGTAACAGTCGTTCATCTTTATTTCTTCAGGTTACCATGTGGCAGTTTTGGACGATGCTCCTCTTGGCCTTGATGTCCCGAGTAACCACGGTGTTCTGCCAAAGTGGAGACAGTGACTGGGGTTCAGGCTTTGACATCTACCCTCCCTTAATGGCCACCAATAACACATTGAAGGCCTTTGATGATGAGCCTGAAAATGTCAAAAACAACTATCTATTAGCCTCGCCATCACCGCCCCCCTTATTCCACTTTGAGCCCCAACCAGATGACTGCTCAGTCCACTTCAGCACGAATGGAGCAGTTTCAGCTCGAAGGCTGAAGGCATTTGAAGAAGAGCTGGACTTTCTACGGGCCATCCAACATAGAAACAAGGTGGTGATGGAGAACTTGGAGCAGTTTGTGGGTTCAGAGCTGGGGGATCAGAAATATGAAGATGTGATTAAAGAAAATGTCATTAGCGTTCAGGAAGAGCATAAGGGCTGCAATGAAGATTTGGAGAAAGCTGAAGAAGAATTGAAAAATCAGCTGAAGGGAGATGGCTTTGCCGTGATGCAGAAGTGAGTACTGTAAAAAGTTAATGACTAACAATAGATATAGGATGATAATTAACTTTTTATTAAAATGAATGTTTGTATCTATGTAGTTCAGTCTAGTATTTCATTTAGAAAGATATTTATGAGGAACACAGAATTATGGTCTGTTGTGGCTGTGAGCGTTGGGCCAAGATTAGCGGTGTCCTTAAGAGTGTAAAAAATATTGTTTAGTCTTAGTCTGTAAAACACAAGTTGGTTAAATATTCATTAGCAGTTTTTAACACAAATACACTTTCTGTGCTCATTAAGAAGATTATAGCAGGATTCTGGCTTAATATTTGACCACTCCTTATAGGAGTCGGTTGAGTTAATTGGTTCTGCCCAATGCTTCTTAGCTTTATCCACCAGTTTGGTTAACAATGGAACTTTAAAAAGTCATTGCAGAAAATCACGGGCCTGTTTTTTTTTTTTGTTTTTGTTTTTTTTTAAGTTTTGAGTATGATATTTAAAAAAGAAAAAGAAAAAAAGTTATCATTTGATGTCTTGAATTTTAAGGTCCTATGTTTTTCATTAAGTATCAATCACAGCAAAACTTTTCAGACTTATCACCTTGTGAGACAGCCTTTATAACATTCTTTAGCTCTTAAAAAAACATTTTGATAAACTAATGGCAGTATGTATTTGATTTTGTTTGACCCAAGATGATTTTTGACCCCCGAAAAATTTAAGAAAAATAATTTAAACTAATGCATCTTCCTCTGATCATGTTAAAAACTATTATATTATGTTGTACAGCTATTCCACCACAGAAAAAGAGCAGTTTAAATTACCCATTAGGTCCTAAATTAATTAATCATATCTAGCCAGTAAACCTTTTTTGTTGCAAAGAGAAGACATTAATAAATCACTTTATTTTAAATGAAATACTCTTACCTTGTTTGCAAGAAATCAAACACATATCTTATGTAAAAATCAACATGATATTTTCATCTTGTGGTTAGTGTATATATGTATTTCTCTCTACACAGAAATATATTCTGTATGATCAGACAAGTAACCAACCTGGTCGTCAAGTATGCGTACCTAGAGCAGAATCGCCAAAAGGTTTTCTGTCCAATGTGTTGAAACGTCTTGTTATCTTAAACCTGAAAAAAAATCCTGTGAAGGGACCTAAAAAGAGCTGACCATTAGCATTGTTCTACAAACCTCAATGTGATTAAGCAAGGAGAGCGTGCTTAAAATTTATGTGATAATTAAAGAGCTTAGTTGTTTGAAACACAGGTTGATGAGTAATGACTGGCAATGTCTTGAAATTGCAAAGAATCAGAACCTCCAAAACAAGACCTTTTTATCATACTTTCTTCAGTATGATGGTCTGTCTTTACCATCACAAAACACCTTTCATACAATATTTTACTCCTGATAAATGTATGTAGGTCAAAATTATTTCTTTCACTTGTTTCACCTGTTTTTTTGTTTTGTTTTTTCTGTATTTTGGAGCAGAGTAAGAGAAGAGTCTGTGGTCTTTGAAGAGATGCTTCGTGCTGCAGCGGACATTGCCAGCAGGTTGGAGAGGTCATCAAAAGTGCTCCATGCTTCATTTACTCAGCAGCTGAAGACGTTATCAGAATCCACCACTAGGAAAATGATGAAATCAATTTGATTATTTAATAATTACACAAACTGTTTTGTTTCCAGAATGACAGACATTTTGTGTGTGTATGTTTTTGTGACTGAGATGCAGCAGTATGTCTTCTGAACCTTTAACAGACTCATGTTAGTAAAGGAAATGTATTGCTGAAGAAAGTGATAAAAGCTAAAAGAAAGGGGAGGTTTTAGAAGTTGTCTTTTCAAGGAAAAACATAAAGCCAAATCTTGTTGAATATTATCTTAAACTCAGGTTTTCTTTGAGAGGTAAATGGCAACAGTGTGTGGTGTGAGATTGAGCCAAGTCTAATATTTATGTATAAAAAAAAAAAAACAGAATGAAAGTGAACGACTCCATCTGGTTCCAGGGTAAGAACTGAGGTCATGAAACATAAAGAATAAGATATTTGTTAACTTAGACTGTTTTTTTTTTTTTTGTTTTTTTTCAGCAGTTATAAAGAAGATCTTTTTACATACTGATAACTCAGCTGATACCTTGCCAAATAAAATTTACCAGCAACAGATTGAACTCCCACCAATTTAGGTGATTTGTGCTAGAAATACCACTGATGTCTAATGGACTAATCACCAGACCGGAGTGTACCCCACCTCTCACTCACTCACTGACCACTGGAGATACCAGCTCCAAACATCTCCACCCCACCCTGAGACCAAGCAAAGATAAGCTGGACAATGAATGAATGGATAAAAGCTCTACATCCTGATGCTTGTTTTAAGATGCAGGTTATCTTTATTACAATGATATAATGAGAAATATATTAAAGTGTATATAAATGCATAGGGTTTAGTTGTAAGGGTGTTTATTCTATAAAATACATGTGTTATTCTAAAACCTTTTTTCAAATTTTTGCTCAGATATGTGGCATTATCTCTGTCTCTAGTCTCTCTGTTCAGTGAAAAACAAAATACTATTTGCTATCTATCAGAACTCAAAACTTTGGATGTATTGAAGAAGACATTGTAAAGACTACATCCCATTGCATACCAGTGAAACATTTTAAGACCACAAATATGGGTACTTTATGTTTTTAATCAAAAAATGTGTACCCATCTACTTTATTTTGTTAAATGAATTGGACTCTAGAAAGTGTTGCATACATTTGTGGAAGAATTCTTTAATATCAGACACACTGTCTCCAAGGTGACAGCATGGTGGTGGCACCATTATGCTACGGTAAGGGGATGTTTTCCTTGAATGGCTTAAGAATGGCATTAATCCTAAATGAACAGAGATATGATATTTTGTTTATTAAAATGGTGTCAAATAAATCTCATTGGGGATCTACGTATAAAAGACCACTGAAAAGTCCTGCTTCAAGGCTGTACATACATTTTTAAATTGCTCATATAAAACATTGGAGTGAGTGGCTAAATTTTGCCAAAATCTGAAAAAAAAAATAAAGAGGTATTAGGTATTACTCAGACATGGTACAGCCTGCTCATTTGTTGTTGATTTGATTAGGGGAAATCAAATCAAATATTAGAATAAGGCCTCCATTCTCAAAATTCTATGAAAGTTCACCTTCTATATTTATTTAAAAAACACAACATGGAGGAGATAATGTAAAAACTGTTGTTATTCTTGGTTTTCTCGGATCTGGATAAGAACATTTTCAAGAAAGGAGCACTTATAGGGGGTTTCTCAGACATTGTGTGTTGGTATTAACACTATATATAATGTTTGTTCAGATAAACCATCTTTGTTTATTTATTTTTCTTTGTGTTTCTCCAAACATTTGAAGGACTAAATCGTCTCCAAAGATATTAATTTACTTAGTCTGCCCTCTAGCTGCCTTCACGAGAAATATTGTTAAACAAACTCAGCTTCTTAAAGTTAAAGAAGGCTTATTAAAAGGGGAAAATATGTGGCATAAAGCTATAAGTGAACATTTTCTAGTGTTTTGGATTCAAAAGTGATTTTTCAGTCTACTTTATTGTAAAATTGTGTAGCAAACATACTGTGTCAGAAAGAGAGAGAGAACATTAACAAACATATTTATTAATACCTATAATAATGACAATGATAACAATGATAACTTGCACTTATAATCACATGACATATGTAGTTCTAAGTGCTACAAACAACAGCTAAAAAACAATAATGAAAAACAAAAAAAGTTAAATAAATGAATCATTTAGCCAGTAAAAGCTTCTTCTGCACCCCTGGTCTGACAGAGACTATTCCAGTAAGAAGAAACTGTAAGGTCTGCAAAAAAAAAGAAAAGAAAAAACCCCCACAAAAAATAGTGTATACCTCCAACAGGTCGTCATAACAGCCACATGATCCAAAATATTTCAAAGATAGTCATAATTAAATGCAACGTGATAGTCCTTCATACAGAGGGAGAAGAAAGCTTGTTAATAACCTCCCTTTTGCATAATGCTTATGCTTATTAAGTGATCTTATTTCGTTTGAATGCTTTTCTTTGTTCTATTAGTCTCTGGTTTGTACAGAGCTTGAAAATGTATGTGTTTAAACTACAGAGAGAGAGAGAGAGAAAGAATGAGAATAAAAGAGGGGGGATCTTGCTGTGCGCGATGTCCTGCCAAATAAAAGCGCACATTCCCTGCTGGCTGGACCAACCTCTGTCCACATCAACAATTCTCAGTCATTATAGCTTAGAAACAAGAACGTCGGAAGCGTGCGTAAAATGCGCATCAGTTTGGATTGGCACCGGCGCAAACATGGATATTTTTTCCACGTTTCCTTATGATTAACTTTCTAAAATTGCAGGTTAAAGCTGGAAAGGCAACACAACACTTCAGATGTGACCGAAGGTACATCAACTCAACCTTAGAGACAATGCAGTAGTTGGTGCTTTCCAACTCTCTCCTCTCCCTCTAGCAGCAGTTGTGCAGTTTTCTTGATATGCATCCCAGCTGTGAAGATGACACATGTGTCTCCCACGGAGCGGACTGTGACGGGCGAGACATTCTCCGCTCTCCTCTGTGATCAGGACGGACTTTTCTTTTCCAAAAGAGCGCAAAATGATTTCCATCCACCTTTTCCTGAGAGGGACGGTCATTTTCTGGACGCTGCTTCTGGGTCATTCAGGTGAGCGCTGCTTTCTTTTCACGTTGTAACTTTAAATGGGAATTTAGAAGACATTAGCCTGTAAATAAAAACTTAATTTAAGGTACCAAAACCTGTGAATTAGGATGATTTTATTTTTTCCCCCAAATAACATTCCTCCACAGTTCTACTGTAGGTTTGCCCTAAAATCAATCAAATCACTGATTCTGCACTAAAGACTTTTGCCAGTTCAATAAACACCACTAAACATAAAATTATTTTTTAGGTACATATTTTATAGTGTACCTATTTTCTAAAATTTCATGAAACTTGTGTCGCCATATGTTCATTTTACCAAATGTTCTACATGAAAGCCTTTTTATATCATTTAATTTTCTATATTTTGTTAAATACATAAAATTATGTATCTATTAAATAAATTGTACATATATTTTGCAAGAGTAAGTAGCATCAAGGATGTTCTGATATGGATTTTTCTCCCCTAATATACAAGTAGAAGAGGCTAAATCCAAATCTTTAGTTTTTACTGCAGACTGGAAAAGAACATATTTATAATTACAAATATTTTAGTTGACCATGAACTAGTTCCAAGCTCTCCTCTGAAGAACGTCTGTGTGTATTTATCATGTTATTTTCCTTAAGGGGGATCTTAATTAACTATTGGCTTAGATAGTGTCTTCGCACAGTTGCATTGTGCATTATTTATTTCAACAGGTTGAGGTGTCAATTTGTCCAACATTTTGTCCTCTTTGTTTTTGTTTTTTTATTTCCTCTGATGAAATCTGTACTCTGGCACAGTTGTTTTAAAGCTAAAGACTGCAATCCAAAACTTGGGAGACATTCTTGACAGCAACAGGTAATCTGATTTAAAGGTTAGATGGCATGTTTGTTCAGTTAACAGACACTGAAAAAAGAAAAAATTAACAGAGCATAAAGATATCAATAAAGCCACTCCTCCACTGGCTGGCGAATGATGGATGGATGGATGGATGGATGGATGGATGGATGGATGGATGGATGGTATTTTTTGTCTTTTTAAGTTAAGTATTAAGGCCAGGAAGGACTAGAGCATACATAACTGTATATACTACCTATACAATTGTACGTTTTGTGTAAAAAATTTTTATACAATTTTCCATTGATTGTAATGTAAAGTGGGACCAAATTCTTTCTGTAGATATTTGGAAAAAATCCCAATAAACATAGCAATAGATTTGTGAAGATTTTCAGAAAAAATTTAACCCAAACTAAATATATGTATGTGCGCAGCAGAAAACTTGTACCAGTTAGCAACAGTCAGGTAAAAAAAAAAAAAAAATCAGGAATTCATGTATTGAAATACTTTGTAAGATATTTCTTGAAATTCATCTATATAGTGTGATTGACATTAGAGCAAGCAAACACTCTTTCTCATAACAATTAAAACTGCTCTATATCAATTATATACATTTTCACAAGAATGCAATTTGCAAAGACCAAGCATTTGCAAAAGCTTGCTCAAGGAAGGCTAGAAAAGAAAAAAACATTAAAAATTTGCATCTCTATTCTTTTTTTATTTAGCTTTTTACTGCTTCAAAATCTACATGATCTGGTTTTGGTTCATTTGCCACCAAGTTTAAGTAAGGATTTTTTTAATTTAAGCCTTACTGTTTTCTTTCCCTGATGCAAGTGCATGTTGTTCCTTTGCTAACTTTTTACTATAAGCACTTGACAGCCCAATTTTACCAAGAGCGCCTCTGGCTGAGGAAGCTGCTGACTCGATTCTCCAAACCAGTCAGTGTTTTATAGACCTGGCCAAGAGGCCTGGCTGGCATCCAGCCTTCTGAACCCAGTTTGTTGGATTCAAAAGGTGTCATCTCATTTCAAGACTCCACTGCCAGGAGGTTCTTTGATCTATGGTGCCCAGGATCCTTTATGTTTAGCCCCTCCTTTGGTGTCTCCCAGAAGCACTGACAAATGTACGCACTTCACCAGTACTGTCAACCTGATAAGAAGGCTCAGCTGGGATCTTCTTGGTCAGATTAGAATTAACAAACAAAGGCAACGGATGCGCCCAAAGTAGTTTAAAACCATTTACATGATTTATGATACTTTAAAACACCTCCTTGACCATTATCTTTATTTTAGAAGAGCATTTTGTTTAAATGTCAGTTTTATGCAGCATTTAAAGTTTCCACTGGGTTTTCCTGCATGGACAGCTTGGTTAAATGTTTTGGCAGTAACTGATTTTATCAACATGTTTTTGAAATAGTTTTTTAACTTAAATGTTTAAATATTGTATAATTTATTAAAATGCTGTCCACTATTTCACCTTAAAGTGAA